AAACTTAAAATATTTTTGTCTATGTTCATTTAAATATTTTTTGAATTTTTTTATGTAAATAATCATTAAGACTAGAACTACTTTTAATTTTCTAGAATGTTTATAATCTTGTTTTTTCGTATGTTTTATTTTTTTATAAGTATATCTTTTTATTTTTTATTTTTTAGAATTTATCAATTTTATTTTATTTACTTATTTGAATTTGAATTTTTTATGGTTTTTAAAGTTTAATTTGTTAGATTTTATATTTTTATTTCTAATAATATTTAATTTTTGAAATTTTATTTAAACGCTTGTTTTCCATGTTTTGAGTGTTTTCAGAATTTTCACTGAAAACATTCAAAACATCAAAATGGGTTTTGAGTTTTATATTATAGATTTATCATTGTTTTCAAAAATAACAAATCAAATAAGTTTTCAGAGTTTTGAAAAATTGAAAGTTGATAAGGGCGTGAAAACAGCAAGCCAAACGGACCTTTATGTTTTAGTTTATTCAACATTTTCACATTATATATATTCTTTTTAAAAATTTAAATTTTTCCTTTAAAAATATCAATTATCTCAACTATTTGCAAAAAACAATATTAATACTTCAAAAATATTATGTATATCATTATTTGATACATAAGACGTGCAAAGCATGTGCGTACTATTAGTCTATATATAAATATGTGACTCCAACTCAGATTTTAATGAGTTTCATTAATATATAGCTGTTCCCAATAATTTGTAAATTTTTTAAAATTTCATTAATTGGAAAGATATTAATAGATTTGATAGCTTTGCATATATTCTAGTTTTGTCCAAAATATTTAAAACCTCCATTAAAATTATTTTTTAAAATAGTACATATATTTTTATTTTTATTTTTTTTAAACAAACAACATTTTTATAGGTTGCATGTATGAGTAACATATGTGTTACTATTTTTATATAGAGTAACATTAAACATTTCAATTGTTTTAGTTTAGGGTAATAATATGTTACATGTAGTGCACAATATATGTATGAACAAAAAGAAGTAATGTATATTTTATCTTGTTACTTGTTTTTAGTCGTAGAGTATCATACGTGTTACTTTTATGATTTGTATAGCAAGATATGTGTCACCGAGTTATTTGTTAGGTAATACTTGTGTTACTGAGTCAATGTATTGTCATATCTTGCACTATTTTTCACTATCATGGCCATCTCCGAACGCAACGAATCAAGTCCAATTCTATGATCTCAAGCATCCGTGCTTCTTTTCCCCAACCAACACCATTTTCTCGACTCAATGATTTGTTATCATCATTCACAATCCAAATTCACCTAGTAACATATTGTTACATTCAAATAACAAATCACGTTACCACCACTTTCATCATCCATATTTAGATCCATCCCATGTTACCCACCACCACCACCATTGCAACTGTTGGGAAAAATTGAGTGATTTGTGTGTAGATTTATTTAACAATTAACACAATAAAATAACAAATACAATTCAAGAATAATATAACATAAAATAGAGAAGAGATTTAGAAATCAAGCATTAAGAGTCATGTCAAGGATACTATCCTAAAGTTGTGTTGCCTCCCCTTTGTGCGGGTTCTTTCGACACTACACGGCTGATAAATGTAGTTTATACACTTATTCGGTAACTTAAATAGCGATATTTGATGGTTCCTTTGACAAATTATATTTAAAATTTTTGTATTTTATGTTTAATAGGTGAAATTTTATGAATGAAAATGAATTGAAGGAAAGAAGCAAAAAACAGGCGAAAAATGACAAAATCCAGAGTACGAGTTCTAAATTGGTCATTGAATGAAAATTGAGGACGTGAAAGCAAACACCACTATAAATGGGCCTCAGCTTGACTTCTACTTGGGTTGAACATTGAATGGCAATTGAAATACACATCACATGGGACTTAATTCAAGTGGGTGGCCAATTGGACACAAAAGGGTTGGCTTTGAATTGGTTTCTTTCTATCAAATGGGGGGGGGGGGGGGTTAATTGGACTTCTTGACCCATGAAGACACACATAAAATAAAGTTCCTTTTGTTAGTTAAAGAGGGGGGTGCCGCTAGGCTTTTATATATATATACACAGAAAATCGAGAAAAAGAGAGGTAGCCAATTGATATCTCTCATAAAAAATTGAGGCATACACGCACGAAAATCGAAGCAAGAAAGCATCCTTTTTTCTTTGGTCAAATTTGGTGGTTATTTAATTATTTTTGGAGAGAGAAGGCTTTGAATGACAGTGAGAGAAGAAAATTGAAGCACCCAACACTTTCTGCAGGGAGAAGAGATTGACATAGACAGGAGTTTCTTTTTGTTTTCTGCCATTAATAGAGAGCTATAGGTTGTTTTTTTTTATATACTTTTACACGCACGAAAAATTGAAAAAAAAGGGAGTAGACGGCTGAAGCGAAATTGGAAATTAATCGCGTTCTTTCAATTCCTGGTGATGTCTTCCATAAATTCTTGTTTTTCTCTTATTAATATGCGTAATTAAATTAAATTTTAGGGCGAATAATGTAACTAATTTAGGACTTTTATTTGAGATTTTTGTTCTTTTATATTTTATGTGTGAATTTTAATTATGTTTTTAATATTTTGAATTTCTGGTCAATAATTCAATAATTTTGTGAACAATAATTACGTAGAGATGCGGATTCTTGTTTAGATCACATGTTAAAATTCGGTAAAGTAATATAACGTGTAGAGATACATATATTAATTGCTGCGATCTTATAGAAATTCTTAGAACTGTTATTTCGTTTAATTAAATTTAACTTACATAGAGATATGAAATTGAATTTATTAAATAGACTCAATGAGAACTCGAGAGGGGTAAGTTGAATACAATAGAAGAATTCGAATGAACACTATTTTAATTTTATGAATCTCGATATTAGAAATAAAGGTGATCAATAGGTGAAGTTGTTCTGCCCTAATCTCCATTTATTATTTGAATTCTCACTAATTTTCTGTTACATTCTCGAGATTTTTAGTAATTAGATTTAAAAATCACAATCAATCAAATTTATTTTTTTTATTTATATTCATCAAATAGGAGTTATGAACAATAAATTAAGTACTAGAAAATATAGTTCTCGTCGGAACGATAATCCGGACTCAAAAGGTCCAATCTACGATTTGTTACGATCCGTTCACTTGCGGGATAAAATCGACAAGAAGTTTTTGGCGTCGTTGCCGGGGACTATTGTTTTTAGTCTTAATTTATTTATTTTATTTTTAATTGTTATTTGATTTACTTATTTTCTTTTATTTACAGAAAACTGTGTTCATTGTATGCTCCGTGCCCAAGGCGACGACGATCTTGAACCGTTTGATTCGGAAATAGAACGTACCTTCAGACGAAGACGCAGGGAACATGAACAAAAACAACAACATCAAATGGCTGATAATCTAAACAATCATATTCCTATACAGCCAATTGGACAAATGGCTGCGAGAGCTCAATAGTAAGAGCAAAGGGAAGTAAATGAAGGGAACTTGTTCTATGTTTTTTACGCCTATAGCAGCACCCGCGTGGTCTAGCATAGTATATCCAGATTTTGGGGGAAACAACTTCCAGATATAGGCTGAAAGATTAATTTGATGAGCAACATTCTGCAATTCTACAGGTTACCTTATGAGAATCCAAACACACATATCTCAAGATTTCTCAAGATTTGCCAGAATTGTCATGTTCTTGGGGTTAATGAGGATGCCATCAAATTGCGATTATTTCCATATACACTAAGAGATGCAGCATTGGAATGGCTGGATGCCGAACTAGATGGAAGTATTACCACATGGGAGGAACTGACTAGGAAATTCTGCAATAAGTTCTTTCTACCAGTTAAAGTAGCAAAAATCATATTGGAAATTCAAACCTTTTAATAGAAAGATGTGGAAAGCTATTACGAGGCCTGGAACAGATTTAAGGAATTGATGAGGAAGTGTCCAAATCATGGGATCACTATTGGAAATCAAGTGCAGTATTTTAACACAGGACTTTCACCACTATCCAAATCTCAAGTGGATTCGTCTGCACACGGATCGATCACGGGGAAACCGGTGCAACAATGTATGGATCTGTTTAAGTTGATTGCTACTACTCATTCCATGTTTTCATAAGAAAGAGTGGTGCCTCCAAAAGCAATGAAAATTTATGAATTAGACAACACAACATCTACCAACGCCCAGATAGCAGTATTGACAAAATAGGTAGAGTTATTGGTGAAGTCACAAACAAAAGGAGCACATGCAGTGAAACTGGACCATCCTGCGAAAATTGCAGAGCAAATCATCTAACAGAAAAAATTGCACATCTTTGGGCTTTCCAGAGGAACAAATCAACTTCATTCAGAATGTCTCTCGAAATTTTAATCTTTTTTCATAAACATATAACCCAGGATAGAGACAACACCCAAACTTCAGATGGTCGGATAATCAGCAAGGAAACAGTTCAAACAATGCACAACAGGAGAAAAAACCAAGCTTGGTGGAGATGTTCAACCAGTACATGCAAAAGACAGACAAGGTGTTCCAGCAGATTGACACTAACTTCCAAAATCAGCAAGCATCCATTCAAAAGCTAAAAACAAAAATTAGTCAGATAGCTCAACAGCTTGCAGAACGCCCACAAAGGACATTGTCAGGCAATACAATGGTCAATCCAAAAGAGCAAGTGCAAGCTATTACAACTAGAAGTGGAGTGCAACTTCCTAAGATACATGTGAAGAGACCAGACAGAAAAAATAAAGAAGTAATGGGTAAAGAGGCTGGGACAGATGCAAAGTCTGAACAACCAACTAACGAGGACGAAAAAAGGAAAGAAACACCCACAATGAGAGCACCCAGCCCCGTGAAAGCTTATGCGCCACCAATTTCCCTTCCTCAAAGGTTACAGAGAAAGAAGTTGGACAAGTAATTTGCGAAGTTTGTAGAGATTTTCAAGAAACTGCACATCAATATTCCGTTTGCAATGCAATAGCTCAAATGCCCAGTTATGCAAAATTATTGAAGGAGATCCTGTCTAACAAAAGGAAGCTAGAAGAACATGAGACTATTTGCCTAAACAAGGAGTGCAGTGCAATTCTATTGAAAAAGCTACCTCCCAAACTAAAAGACCCAAGGAGTTTCACGATACCTTGCACAATTGGTTCTAATTTCTTTGAACATTCTTTATGTGATTTATGTGCCAGTCTTAATTTGATGCCTCTCTCTGTTTACAGGTCTCTTGGATTAGGAGAAGCAAAACCTACAATCATCTCTTTGCAATTGGCAGATAGATCGATCAAACGACCGAAGGGGATTATTGACGATGTGCTAGTGAAAGTTGATAAATTTATTTTCCGGCTGACTTCATCGTTTTGGACATGGAGGAAGATTCAAACATCCTTCTAATCTTGGGAAGACCCTTCTTGGCTGCCGGAAGAGCGCTAATTGATGTTTACGATGGAAAGATGATTCTTCGAGTAGACAATGAGCAAGTCATATTCAACATGTTCAAGACAATAAAACATCCACTGACTTCAGACACCTATTTCCAAGTAGATGTTCTTGAAGAGTTAGTGGCAGATACATTTGAGACAGAGCATCAAATAGTTCTTTGTGAAGCAAAAATTGTACAATCGGGAGCAACAAGTACAGAAAAACTGAATAGGTTGTCAAGTTGGCTAAGCAACCAATAGGAATAAGACATTAACAGTATGAATCTCTTGGTGACAACCCTTCACCCCCGGTACCTTCAGTGGAAAAGACACCCACTCTTGAACTAAAGCCCTTGCCTTCACATCTCCGTTATACATATTTGGGAGAATCTACAACACTTTCAGTATTCATTGCAAATGACATGACAATGGAAGAGGAGAATAAATTGTTAGAGATACTCAGGCAGCACAAAACGGCAATTGGATGAACAATAGTTGACATCAGAGGAATCAGTCCAACTCTTTGTATGCACAAAATTTTAATGGAGGACGGGTCAAAGCCATTAGTGGAAGGACAACACAGATTAAATCCAACCTTGAAAGAAGTAGTGCAAAAAGAAGTGCTGAAATTGTTGGATGTAGGTATTATCTATCCCATCTCTGATAGTTCATGGGTAAGTCCAGTGCATGTTGTATCTAAAAAGGGTGGAATCAGAGTAGGGAAGAACGAGAACAACGAGCTGATACCTACACGGTTAGTGACAGGGTGGAGAGTATGTATAGATTACAAGAAGCTAAACAATGTAACCAGAAAGGATCATTTTCCATTGCCATACATTGATCAAATGTTGGAGAGGTTGGCCGGTTATTCTCATTACTGCTTTCTATACGGATATTCTGGGTACAATCAGATAGTTATTGCTCTAGAAGACCAGAAGAAAAGAACATTCACATGCCCTATGGAACTTTTGCGTTTAGAAGGATGTCTTTTGGTTTATGCAATGTACCCGGTTTATGCACAGTGTTCAATAAGATTATTACTAAGCTTTTGAACACTCGGTTGAGTACGCTGCTACCGCGCATTATTTCCTCTCCACAGAGTGGTTTCATCCCAGGCCGTCTGATTGGAGATAATGTTTTATTGGCTCAGGAGCTTCTCTACACTTTGGATGATAGAGTGCGAGGGGGAAACACTATGCTGAAGTTAGACATGGCTAAAGCATATGATCGCATGGACTGGGGCTTCATTTATTCTGTATTGGAGGCATTTGGATTTGATCAGATCTGGATTGACAGAATCAGGCGGTGCGTTTCGGAGTGTCGTTTCTCCGTACTCCTAAATGGCCGCCCATGTGGTTTCTTTCCCTCCTCACGAGGACTCAGACAGGGTGATCCTATCTCCCCATCCTTGTTCATCATTGCAGCAGACTACTTCTCACGCTTGCTCACTCAGAGGTTTCAGCAGTATCCCAGTATGTGCTATCGACATGGAGGTAGTGCTCTTGTCTCACATCTCTCATTTGCTGATGATATGATCATCTTTGCCAACGGTCAGAAACAGTCTATCAGGAGGGTCTTAGATTGCTTGGAGCACTATGAAGGAGTTTCTGGCCAATTGGTGAATAGAGACAAGAGCGGTATTATACTATCCAGACGGGCATCCACTAGTCAGATCAGACGACTAGAGATTTTGACTGGCTTCAGACATCAGCAGCAGCCTTTCACTTACTTGGGTGTCCCCTTATTCAAGGGGACTAAGAGGAGCTTCCTTTATGATGACCTTATCCAGAAGATAAGGAATAGGATATCAGGTTGGGCCTCACGATTACTATCGCCTGGGGGTCGTATTACATTACTAAGGCCAGTACTTTCTTCCATACCTTTACATCTTCTTCAGATTATGCAGCCACCCAAGGCAGTGCTGAAGAAACTTGAGAGCATCTTCGCCCGATTCCTATGGGATTCTAAGGATCAAGCACGACGTCTACATTGGAGGAGTTGGAAGAAGATTTGCCTTCCTACTGATGAGGGAGGCCTCGGCTTTAGGAGAATGCAGGATGTGGTGGACACCTTCTCCATGAAGCTCTGGTGGCTGTTCCAATCTCAGAGGTCACTTTGGGCTCAGTTTTTACTGGGCAAGTATTGTAAGGGGAC